TCATCACAAGCTTATCATCACATTCCCTCTGTTTCAGACACAGGGTGTTGGCAGCAGATGGTTCCTTATCAACTAAAGACACTACTGCTGAGGATGTGAGGTAAGATACATTTATAAACTGGCTACTAAAAGTTATATCTCATCCAACCAGCTTAAAAACATCATACAGTAGTTATAGGCTTTAATCGATGTGATAAAGTCAACATAGCTTTGACCTGGATGAAACACTTTTATAGCCAAACGCAGTTTAGGCCTACTAATGCCACTGATTTTTATTATTCCTGTAGATTTCTTCATTGCAAATATGAACCCTGTCCAGGCTAAATGTACATCGTCATTCTGGGTTAACACGAGTGGACTTAAAGGGATACTTCACCCGTTGAAACATGAATCTTATTGACATTGGGTCATGTAGTAGAAATGTGAAATACATTTTGAAGTTGGAGCCTTCTTGGCCGAGAAAAGGCAGAAAGTGTCTTTTTGGCTCATGTGGATGAAAGACAACCAAATCCCAGAATGCACAGCACTGCAGGCCACTCCCACTAAGATCCTCTAGTTCAGAATCAGAAATACTTTATTAATCCCAGAGGGAAATTCGATCGTTACAGTTTCTCCAAAATATACAGTATAGTAGTAGAAATATAGTAATAAAAACATTTACAGACATATTTACTTCAACACATAAGGCCGTTTCCTCAACTGATTCAGTAGGAATTGGTATCTTGGAAATTCCTGGCAGAAAACAGACTCTATGTCTGTGTCCATAGGCAAACAGTGAGAGCACCGACACAACCAGTTCGTCCCAGGTCGAGCCGACCCGGGCTCCTCGTCCTCACCGCCAGGCTGGTCTTGTGCTGTGAGCGGTCAGGAGCGCCCCGGCGGGCAGGCCGCAGCAGCCAAAACACAAGACCGGCCTGTCGGCAGCAGCCATCTCGCCGCTATATTTATATTTTCGCCATTATGAGCTTTCTCCATAGAGCCTGTTAGCATAGCTTCCAAGCAATATGGCGGACGTTAAGTTTTGATTCTGGGAGTGAACTCCCACCCACTGATCTGTGATTGGTCTGTAGCTTCAGTGGTCGAAAATATGAGGAACTAGCGTTGTAGTTTCACCCTGCTAACCGCAACAGCTTCCAGTGACGCAAAAATCGTCATTTTGCGTCACTGGAAGCTCCTTTTCAGACTCAGAAATACAAAGATTTCCCATCTCAGGGGAAAATGAGGGAGGGATGCACGACCATTAAAAAATACTACCATGTTTCTAATGATACAAAGCTTAATGCAAATGGGTGAAGTATCCCTTTAAACTAAACTACATAGACAACACCGATGTCTTAAAGTTTGAAAATAGTGGATTAATGCCTGTTGAGACTTCATACTAATATGTTTTACATTAATGTTAAGTGCATTTACTCTACATGTCACATTCAGACACTGATGGCCAGAGGATGTTTTGTAAAGTGACGGACCATAGGCATAAACTAATTACATTCACACATCACTGGATAAGTCACCTGACAGTGATTTAGAATCCAGTGTCTTTCCCAAAAACCCTTGATAAGTGGACTGCAGAAGCAAGGATCGAACCACCTACATCCTGGTTGAGAGATGATCAATAGTACCATTAAGCCACAGCCAGGCACTCAAAATCCATTAATCCCCAAATTTAAAGCATCCTATAGAAATGTTTTGTACATTAGGCTTTTTTAAAAAGAAAAAATATAAAAAAAATGTACAATAAATTTCAGCCAATATATTTGTCATGCCAAAATTTTGATTTCCATAAAGTCCTCTAAAATGTTAAATCACTTGGGCTGTAATCTTGAGTAGTGTTGATGATTTGATTGATTGAACTGTATTTTGCATTGAACTAAGATTGAGTGACTCAGTGAAATGTCTGTACCAGGATGTTTGAAGCGTTCTGTAATTAAAATTGGTTAAAAATACTAGTCAGTCCCTCCAGGAAGTTGCGATGTTGCGATCGCAACAATTAACGCAAATTCAACCAATCCCTGCAAATTCTGGACGACCTTGCAATTTTGTCCAATCACCGCAACTTTTCTGCAAACTTTACTGCAAAACACACCAGGAGAATGACTGAAACGCGCGGACAACATACAAGACATACAAGTTAAATAAATAAGCATAGATAGAGCTTGTCTGATTGCGATTGCGAAACAAACGGTGTGTGTGTGCACGCTCGTGCGTGTGTGCGTTCGTGTATTCATGAAAGTAGTTAGGAATACAACGTCGTAAAATGTTTAAAGTGGTTTAAAAGCTTAAGGCAACATATTAATTTGGATGTGTAATGAAATCAGATGAAGAGTGTGAGTGTGTGTGTGTGTGTGTGCGGAAGGATCATTACCGGTTGAGATCCCCGCACCCAAGGCCGCGTGGCCCCTCGGTGCTGGCGGCGGATCGTCACTCAAAAAACTCTCCCTGAAAGAGAGAGAGACATCACTGAGTGAGGCAGAGGCATCACTCAATCACATCGAAGTGTGTGTAAGAAAATAGTTTAATAATAAAAAAGATTTTTTTTTTACATTAAAATAATCGCAACTAGTGTCGCAATTTTCGCTTCCTGCCGCAATTTAATTGCAAAAAAACGTCTAAAAACATCGCGACTTGCATTGCAATTTTCTTGAAAAGCTGCCCGCGAAATCAGTTATTTTAGGCCGCAACAATCCCCCAAAAAGTCCTGGAGGGACTGACTAGTGAACCAGTTTCACCAAAATCTGTCTTATTCCATGTGTATATTTATCTATATCAATTTATTTGTCAGAGACATAGGCATTGTTACACATCGGATTAAAGTGCAACCGATGCAATGTATATACTTAGGACTTCTAGCCATGGCTAATTTGCCATCCTTGTTCCTGGTTAGGCTTTTAGGAAATAACCCAATAAAATGTAAAATAGACATTACATCAGACATACATGGGCAGCAACATAGATGCATAAAAACTAAAAGTAAAGCAGACCCAGACAGGCAGATTGATGATAATGACTAAGAATAAGAATTAAGAACAATAACTCAAATAACAACTAAGTCAATAATCGACTCAGTGTAATTGAATATTTTCTTTTGTAGATGGAAGGTGATAAGAAAGGTGAAACACCAACATTGATAATCTGATGAAAAAGAAAAGAAGATCATGGGTGAGTGTTGTGATTTTTAAATTTTAATTGGTGGAGGCAGACAGGAAACAGTGGATACAGTGGGATATGATGTGCAATAAAGACACCAGCAGGAATCAAACTGTCAGAACGTCCAACAACCACTTAAAGAAAAAAAGAAAACGTATTTGAACTGGCAGCATAATGTTATACATAGAATTAGGATATTGTAATCCAGGTTTATAGTATTTAAGTACAAGACTGGTCTGAAAATAACACATTTCCTGATATGGCTGGCAATAAAAGAATGCCAATGACATTTATACTGGGGACTTTCATTGTGCAGAAGCAGCTTTAGCAGAGATTTTCAATAACACTGAAGGGATTAACAGTATAGCGCCTCCTTTGACCACAAGTCACTGCCAAATGCCGCTTCTTTTAATCATCTTGGACTTAAGACAAGTGAGACATCAGTTAAAAAACACCATTAGCACGTAGACCTGATGTACTGGAGAAGCTAATCTGTGCTATGCTACTCTGAAGTGACACAGAGCAAAGACTCTTCAGCAGATCATGGTAAAAACTGACACGAAGAGGCTGAGACTTGTGGTCAGTTAGTGGTCTTTTTAATGCCAAAACAAAAGACTGAAAGATGCTGAAATGTTAATCATAATTTTTCTTTATTAGGCCAAATGGTTTCCATGATATTATACATATCATAACAAAGCTCATACTACTATAACCCTTTCAATCACTGAAAAACACGGCATTTTGATGCTGAATGATATCACCATATCATATCAAGTATAGGAGCATGTAGGTCCAGAATAAAAGTGGACCTAATATTGAGCCTTGCGGTACACCACAGGTAATATGAGAAGTGGAGCATGAATGATTACGTGTGTTGACCGAGAAGGTTCAGCTAAAGCTAGGAAAAAACAAACCTAGTGCAGTGGTGGAAATATTTCAGTGTTGTGGTCAAAAGTTGTTTGGCTTAAGGTTGTCAAAAAATGGTATACTTTTAGATACCACTTGCCTTACAGCAATACAAGCGCGTTTTTTTGAGGAATGGTGTCGAAGTTAAACTTCTGGTATTTTGACGACCCTAGTTCTACTGCCTCCTTGGAGCAAAAAAAAGTATTTACCTATTTAAAGATTGACGTCTTCAATAAAAGCTAATTTGATACTGACAGCCTAATTAGCACTGACTGTCAGTGGCAAAATGCTCAAAATGTCCCCCAATCTTTTATTTATAATCAAACCTGTTGCCTATTCCTTTTTTCCTCACCAACAGCTGACAAACTTGACCCATCACCAGAGGTTTGGACCGAATCTCAAGTCAGCACCTGGCTGAAATCAATTGGAGTGAAGGAGCAGTACATAGAAAAGCTTTATGAGGAAGAAGTAAACGGACAAATCCTTCTTACATTAAATGAGGAGTTTTTAAAGGCTAAGATTTGCATGAAATCAGGGCCTGCTCATTTGATCATTCAAAAGAGAGATGAGCTCATCAACTCAAAGCAACGAGAGGTTAAGCAAGAGAGGAAAAAGCCCAACAGTGGTAAAAAAACTGAGTTGGAATTGAAATCAGTTCCGTGTGTTCCTACAGCAAGTGGAGACCCTCCTGCACAGACTCATGAGAGTGTTGAAGATGTCTTAAAAGAGAGACAGACTTCAAATTCAAAGGAAGATTGCAGACCTCGACCATTTGATCAAGAAGGGATTGATTTCATGTATGTAAAGCACAGAGTCCTGCAACCAGAATCAGGTGCTTTTAATCTGACATCTCCATGCCATGAATTTAAGTCATTTGCCATAGCTGCTGCATTGGATCGCACAAGACTCCAAGCTAAGTTTGCAAAAGAGGTCCTTAAATTTGCCACTGGCTGCATGAACATTAGATCAAATGGTACAATACACTTTGGTGTGATGGACAGCAAGGAGGATGCAGGTTATGTGCATGGTGAGATAATTGGTATCCCTGTGAAAGAGAGAGATATTTTTGTAGATTCTTTGGACTACATTGAAAGAAGTGTCTGTTCTGACAAGGAGCATGTACGCCAGTGTGTGCGGCCTCCAAGGTTCATTGAAGTTATGGACAGGGAAAGTACAGAAAAGAAGTATGTGGTAGAGGTTGACATTGTGCCTTCTATTAGTATTGTTAAAAGCAAGGTGTATGCAGTTCGTCTACCAAACTTCAAAGAGACAACTAACAAAGTGGAGTTTGAAAAAGAAGCCATCCTGCGGCGGTTGGGTTCAAAAACGGAGCCAGTGAGTGACAAAGACCTAAGTGATTTCTACCAGAGAGTCAAAGATCGGGATGCACAAAGGGAAGAAGCAGAGAAAATGAAGTTCCTTAGTGCCCCTGAAAACTGCCAAGACCTAGGACGGAAACTAACAATGCTGATGACAAGTGGGAAGAAATTCATGGAAAAAGATAAATGGTTCATACTCATCACAAATAGATTCCCACCTGATGACCTTTGCAACATTGACTGGCTGCTCAACATGAACATATTCTGTGTTTTTGACTTTGACCCAGACTCAAAGATATCGGGTCTTTGCAGTAGATACCTTCAGCATCACGCTGCAAACATGCATTCTCTACAGAGTTACAGGATACCAGGCGACATGAACATCAAAGAATTCACAAGCCATTTGCATCTGTTTGAGCAAACAAGCTGGATCTTTTGTAACGGCCGAACTGACTACCAAGGAAATGAAACTCTGTGTGATGAAATGACTTGGATCAAGACAAAAATGACTTTCCTGCAGGAGTCTGTGTCATCGATCTGTAAAGAAATCTTGCCAAAAGGAACCTTCCAGGTAATTTTTCTTGTCACATCCCCAGTTGAGAAACCACTCTTACACACCTTTAATGAGTTTTTCCCTGTCATGGAAGGCCATGAAGACATCGTCTGCATCTGTCCATCCCAGGACAACTTCCATAAGTGGCAAAGCTTTGCAGAGGAGTTATGTCCAACAGAAACGGTGAACAATTCCAGTGTGGTTGGGATGAAAATGAGTCACATTAATGCAACTCTGCAGCAAGTACAACCCTTTAATTCATGTGCCAGGAAACACTTGCCAGTGTTTGTGAAAGGGACTTGTCTTCTTGAAACACATGAAGAAGAACAGATGTATTCACTGGAAATTTTGACAGTGGATCATTGTGATGAAACAAGCGAAGACTTCATCAATGAGGAGAAAGCAAACATTGAACACCAGTTCTACCGTGGTGGGAGAGTGAACTGGTTGAATTTTTGGCTTGCTGAGCACAAGTATGTTGGAGAGGTAATTGAAAGAGATGCTTATCAAGAAGTTTCCAAACTTCTCCATGAAGCTTTGAAATGGAACACAGATGAAACTCCAGTGAATAGTATTAACATCTACCATCATCCAGGAAGTGGTGGAAGCACTGTGGCAAGACAAGTGCTGTGGAACAACAGGAAAGATCTGAGGTGTGCAGTTGTGAAGCCCTCATACTCCGCTTCTCTTGTTGCACAACATGCAGTTGAACTAAGAGAGTATGAAGAAAAAGATCCACAGAAGTGTCTTGCTGTACTGCTTCTCATCGAAGACTCAGACAAAGAATACCTTGATGATCTCAGAAATGAGCTGGAGGTTGCCGTTAACACCAAAAGAATCCAGTATGGAACTCCATGCTTCATTTTGTTGAGCTGTAGAAGGTCCTATAATCCAGAGAGGAAATGCAAGGAGTCTCCATTACAGAATGTGTCTGTCACTCACAAGCTGTCTAACCAAGAGAGGAGAAAGTTTTCTGGAAAACGAGAGGCACTTGAAGAACGATATGAACCCGAATTCATTCTGACTTTTGTTCTGATGAGCGAAGAATTCAATGTTGACTATGTTCAACATTTTGTGGAACATTTGCTTCAAGGCATTGACCGCCAATCTGTTGTCGCTCGCCTCATCCTCTATGTGGCACTGTTGAACACTTATGTTCAAAACTCTTTCATCTCCCAGTCTCATTGTGAAGCCCTGCTTGCTCTAACCATTCACATGGAAAGGTTTCACCAACATGAGTTTGAGAAATCACTTAGCCCCCAGGCTCAACTGGTCTTATTGCATCTCCGGGATGAGAAGACGCACATTGAATCAATCAGAATCATCCACCCACTTGTTGCAAAGGAGATTCTCCAACAACTTTTGGGAGAAGAGACCCAAAGCAGTTTGGCAATGAAATTGCTCTGTGAGAAAGGTCTTTTTGAACACAGATTTGGAAGGGACGAATATTTGTCATTTCTGAGAGCACTTTTCATAAGGAGATCAAGAATAAGCAAAGGAGACAAATATGACAGTTTTTTCTCTCCACTGATTGAGCATGTGTGTGACAAGGAGAAAAGCTCAGACAAAGCAATTGAGTTGCTCACTGAGGCATTTGAGCGTTTCCATGAAGATCCATTCTTTGCGCAACAACTTGCTCGTCTTCATTATACTTATGAAAAGTTTGAAGAGGCAAAACACTGGGCAGAGACAGCAGCAAAACGGCAGCCAATCAACTACTACATCATACTCCACACAAAAGGGCAGGTGTACAGGAAATGGTTCCAAGCTAAATGCAGGGCCATTGACAGTGACAATGTACCAAAGACGGCCCAAAATACAGCAGATGCTGTAGAGACTGCACTGAAAGCTCTAGAGTGTTTTCAAGAGTGTGAGAAAGCTGCTGAAGCAGACATGGAAAATGTGTACAATTCAGGATTTTTTGGTGAAGTTGAAGTTGGATGCAGTCTTCTCAAACTCATCTCTTCAATAGATATGTTTGCACACAGAACCAATGGTCATTCAGAGTGTATGAAGTACCTGTTGACAGATTACATTCCAGAGGAAGTTAAAGATGCCTGGGAACCATTTCATGGGCGTTTGAAAAAACTTCAGAAAACAATGCAAGATGCTTTGGAATGGATTTCAGAAGACCTGAGTTACTTTCAGACAGACATTGATGGAGATGAAGAAGAGATCCCCGAAGGTCCTGAAGAGAAGATTAGCCAACCACTGACTTGGCTGGCAAAAAAATCTTCAGAGTACGGAAAGTACTTCAGTGAAGCCCACTCTAATGCACTTCAGGGGCAATCAATCCCAGCCAATCTAACTCCATTCCAAAAACGCATGATGATCTACCATCTTGGCGGAGGTAATGTAACGTCAATCCTCTCCAAGCTCACTGACCAGAGAGATGCAGTTCGTCTCTTAGAGAGCATCCTTTCTTTGTATCCCACCAATCCAATGAAGGCCAAATTTGGTCAAAGGGATATTGTCAATTACATCATGGCCCACATTTCACTGAACTGCCTGTCTCCAGATACTCAAATGGTAGCTCATCTGAAAAATCTACAGGCACTATGTCGTCAGTTCCCATCTGATAAACGTAAATGCTTACCAAGTGCCCTGTTCCTGCTCACCTTGCTGTTCTGGCCAGAGGATCATGACATGGACATGGAGAAAGAAACCAAATATGAAATTGTACAATCAGCAGTTGAACACCTGGAAAAAGACTACTGGATCAAGATGAAGGACATTCCTCAGAGGAAAAGAAGGCTTTACACCCATTTTTTTCTGGGCAGTGCGAATGGATTGGATAAATTTGTCCACAAGAAAAAGTTTGAAAGTGTCACCAAGGTGTTCTCGTTCTCTGAGAAACGCATGAAGTGGTTTAGGGGTGAGGCATGGAAAAAACCTGAGATTGCCAAGATGCTTAAACGTGTGTCTGGATGGACTGAAGATGGAGTGGTGTACCTTGATGGCCCCAAGAAAAAAAAGTTCAACATCTTACCTCTTCATGTGCCTTCAGTGCCTCATAGTAATGAGAACATCACTTTCTACCTTGGGTTTACCTACAGAGGCCCCGTTGCCATCAACATCCTTGTGAAAAAATAGTGTGCCTTTGAACAATTATCCCTCAAGGCTGTTTTAGAACTTGCTTGAACATGGAACTAGCGTTGACTAGGCAATATTGAATAGACAAATGAGAAAATTTTGATGCACATGGAACAGTATTAGTACGTATTTGTATACATGTGTTTTTATTGACTTTGAAAAGACCAAATTTGGATTTCCTGAGTATGAAAATAACAAACAGAATTTGTTTATCTACAGCTGAGTGATTCTCCAATAGAAACTGTAAATCTTTTTTTTGGTCATGTGTGTTGTATCGTGTTATCTTTGGACTGTTTGTTGGATTTAAAAAGGTGAAGACCCCTTTTAGATTTTGGAGTTTACACCTGGCATCACGATGCCCTTCAAATACATCTCAAGTGTGACTTTGTGTTTGTTTTGTGCTAACTGGAGCACATGAAAACTGAAGTCTACTTAAGGGATTTAAAGCATTTGGTGACTCAAATCTAGTGACCTGAATATGAAGTTTGACTTTAAATGGAGTCAGATTTAAAATCAAGACAAATTGAAGTTCCAGATGTAAAGCACTGTTGATTATGTTTTCAAGAAGATGTTAATAGCTCTCTCAGTTTTGTTATCCAGGATACAATGTATAAAATAGAATTATAAGGTACTACTTATCAAATGTCTTAATCACTTCCTTTGGCTTTGTGTCTTTGTTTTCAAGATAACTGGTCTTAAAGCAACAGTACCACATTTAGTTAGAGAATAATATGTATTCATTTTGATGTGCTGCAAAAAAACAAATATTGAATGTAGTGATTGTGTAGGCCTACATGTGGTATGCTTAACAGAACCTGTAATAACCCCAGATGCCCTTTATATGAAACATTAAGTAAATTCATTGCCAGTGTGTACTCAAACTTTTACATCTCTGCCTGTTTTATTTCTTATTTCTCGATCAGTTTACACTTTTTTTTTTACATTTTGTACACTCCAGTTATATGGGATTTCTTTATTTATGTTAACTTCAAAGGGAAATGTTGTACCTGCCAACTTTGTTTTTCATAAATATTTGTAACATGCATTTACATGAATTTACATTCAGTAAAAATTCGTCATCCGCTACTTCTGCATGGAGAGGGACCAAATTCTCTTTTGGTTTGTTCATTTCTGAAGAAAAAATATTTATCAATATTTCAGGTTCCATAATATTGACAGTCTCATCAAAACAGACAATATGTATTTGTATGACAATGTTTACATTTAAATATCTTCATTTAAAATGGACTAAACCTATGTTATATATATGTTTTTGTTGAGTACCTACATGACCTCAAATGTTTCCAACAGTTATCAAAGCCAGAGAAATCTGAAATTCGTAATGGGACGTGTCTTGTCGAGGCAGCTGCAATGATAGAATGTCTATTGTTGCCGTGGAAACACCGAATGTTTCATAAACAGCAGCAATGCATTAAACGCTTAGCATGGCAACTAAAGTAAGTGCTGCCATGCTGTCAGGCCCCCATTGGGGAGGTTTCCTATACTGTCATTGTAAAATGTTCACATTTTGGGCAGCTGGTTCAAAGTTTGAGCTCTCCCCTTGCAGTTGCCTGCCTAGCCTGTTGACAAGCAGCACCTCTGGCTACAGTGCATGTCCCACAGCCGAATGCCACAGTTCAAAGAGAAGGAGAGGAACTGCAGCTGACTGATACAAAACATTTGTGTACTTATTATCCATAGAATGTATAAAGAATGTCAATACAGGTAGGCCTATTGCAACACCTCTCATCTGAAGTGAGGCCAAAATATTTAGAGCTCCCCCTACTGACTGATGCTATTTATTCTAATTCTGACGTGTTCAAGGACTCTTTTTTCCAGATAAGTTTCTTATTTAATTAGTTATTTGATGCTTTACATAGGTGTAGAAAACCATGATTGACCGCTCTGTTGACAAATATGGCTCCTGCAGCGATGCTCGTAACAAATTAGCAAAGTAGAGGGGAAACAGCAAGAGGAAACACAGTAAAGACGAGAGCCACAGAACTTCCATTACCAGGAGCGTCTGCTTCAAATGGACGTATGAATGTATACTGCTGTGGACTACAGACCTGAGGGATCTTTGCCTATTTATCGGTAAGTTAATGTGTGTTTTTGATATCTGAAGTGAGGTGACGTGAGCTGTGAACTCTGTGGACAATTTTAAAAAGCAGTTAAAGACCCATCTGTTTAGACTTGCCTTTGTCTGATCTGTCCATGTCTGAATTTACGTAACTGTCTGTATTTCTTGTCTCTGTAAATCTTTTATTTTGAAGCACTTTGGGACCTTTGCTATTGAAAGGTGCTATATATATAAACGTTATACTTAGTTATTTTATATTGAACTGAAGACATTATTTGAATCTGTCTGAAAAGTATCCAGAAACAAAAACTTTACAGATGTCCAAATAATTAAAAAAAACATTCAAACACTATTCTTTTCATAGTGTAGCCTAGTTCTTCCTTCTAAACTATGTTTTTTTATTTTCTGTTTTAGCTGACATTAAAAATTTTAATATAGTGACTTGAATTTCACACTGGACTTCCTTGCCCGTGTGTTGTAATGTGGTATACTGATAAAGTTTATTCAAAAAAAGGAGTTGCTCCAACGCTGCCCTGTGAGAGAGGAACCACATCAACTTCATGAGGACCTACCTGCTCCTCATAGGTAATCATAGAGTAATATTTTTTTTAAAAAGCCACTCTGAGGAATGTTACCTTTCTTGGTATGTTAATGGAGAGGGGGTCAAGACTTCCACTTCAAGAAGAAGTGGTTATTAGTTTCACAGACTAAAGATGACATATGGATAATAAAAATGGTTGTGTCGCTTTATCAAGAAGTTCCCCTCTCAGTACTGTTTGTCACATTTTGAATTTAGGGCCTTTCATGGTCTGCTTTGAGTGACTGATGAAGTAAGATCGCCCTCTGCTGGTTACAATGAATAGTGAAAACAAATGTCACAACAGCATAAAGTGTTTCCTTGCCATTTATAAATCAATTTTTAAATCCGCAAAAATGTTGCCACTAAAATCAGTATGTACCCGAACGTCAGCCGCTACTTCTGCACGGAGAGGGACCGGCAGTTCCAGTACATCGCCATTGAGCTGTGTGCGGCCTCGCTCCCCCCCAAGCTCCCTTTATTCAACCGTAGTCTTTTGTCAATAGCAAGAAGCCTGTTTTTTTGTGATTAAAATGCAGTTGTAGGCCTCCTCTGATGTAAAGTTATTTTTTGTGTCTATGTGTTTTCATAAAAAGTCAAAAGAGGGAATAACCCTGATACTATTTATTCTCAACCACATATTTCACACTATGTGAGAATGAGACCTCTCTTCATAGTTAATGACTTCTTTCTTCTCTTTAGTATGTGGAGAGGAAGGATTTTGACCGTCATGGACTAGAGCCAGTTATGCTTCTTCAGCAGACCATGTCAGGACTGGCCCACCTGCATTCTCTCAACATTGGTAGGTACCACAGAACAGAACAGAACAACAACACATCTCATTCTCATCGTTATTGGCTGTTTAGTAAAAAAAACAAACATATCTATACAACTTGTTCTTCTCCACTTACCTTCATATTTTTTCCTTCAGTCCACAGAGACCTGAAACCTCACAACATCCTGGTGTCCATGCCCAACGCCCACGGTCGGGTCCGGGCCATGATCTCAGACTTCGGCCTGTGTAAGAAGCTGGCGGTGGGTCGTCACAGTTTCAGCAGACGGTCCGGCGTGCCGGGCACAGAAGGCTGGATCGCCCCCGAAGTTCTCAGTGAGGACTGCAAAGACAACCCGGTGAGTGAGTGGTGGAGAAGCAGCTCACTTCTGGTCCGACTCAAACTGGACTTGTAAAATGCATGTAAACACGCAGGTCAGGTTTTTTATTTTTTTATTTCGAACGATTAAAAATAGATGAAAATGAATAAACAAATGGAAAAAAATACAAATGAATTTATTTTGGGCACACGTTCTAAAGCTGTATGTTTTTGTGTTATGATCAGGGGACATTGTAGCCAGAGATCTCATAGAGCAGATGTTGAGCATGGAGCCACAGAGGAGACCTGCAGCTGAGAGCGTTCTCAAACACCCTTTCTTCTGGAGCCTGGAGAAGGAGCTGCAGTTCTTTCAGGTTAGTTTTTAATATTAAAGAGTCAAACAGTCCCCTGTGGTCTAAATGAAACATCTGTGTTGTGCTTTGGTCAAAATATAACATGAAGCACCAGAGGAGGTTTGTGACCCTGTATAAACCAGCTCTCTCAGAACGCTCCGTTTTGGTGTGTGTGTCTCTTTAAATGCAATGAGCCTTAGTGCCTATTCATTTGTATGGACTGACTCCTTTTAGGCTGTCCCTGATGTTTTCAACCTCTTCTTACTAAAATCACACTGTAGTACAATATAGTGACCAGTGTCTGAATACACTCATGTGCTGTTTTGTACAGATTTTAACTTAAGCTACTATACATGTCTCTAGGATGTCCAAAAACAACCCCATGAATTCATTAAAGTGATTTATGAAGGTGAAGAACTTTTGTCAACAAAACAACAGTATTACAAATGTGTCAGTGATCACCAAATTCTAGAAATGGTCAGAGTGTGATTAAGACTTTTGTCGAACGACTGGAAAGTCTCTAAAATAATCTTTTGTTGGTTGCTTGCAGGATGTGAGTGACAGAATAGAAAAGGAGCCGCTGGACGGACCAATCGTGAGACAGCTGGAGAGAGGAGGGAGGGCTGTTGTGAAGAGTGACTGGAGGGAGCATATCACAGTGCCACTGCAGACAGGTACGAGACCGAGGCTGAAGTTTGCACGTGAAGATACAAGACGTTGTAAAACATTCTTCTTGGTCTCTTTACATGAAACAGGAAAACAAAATCCTCTCTTTCCTCTCTTGTGCCCTGACTGAGTGTGTGGGTTCTTGAGAAACAGTGTAGCATTAAAGAAGCTTAGCTCTGTTTTTCAGGTGTCCCTGTTCATTGGTTTCTAGTTGAATGATTATCAGGTATTCATTTCTGTGGTTGATGTATTGAGTTTTGTCTTCCTTTCTTCTGCAGATCTGCGGAAGTTCCGTTCCTTTAAAGGTGGATCGGTCAGAGACCTGATGCGTGCAATGAGAAACAAGGTAGGGATGTATTTTCATGTTTTGTCTTTGAAAGAATGCGGTCTGTGAAGTTTGCCTCACTGTGACTCTCCCTCTACAGAAACACATTACAGAGAGTTGCCTGCAGAGGTACAAGAGACTCTGGGCTCCATCCCTGATGACTTCGTCTCTTACTTCACCTCCCGATTCCCCCACCTGCTCATGCACACCTACCTGGCCATGCGGACATGTGCATCAGAGAGGCCGTTCCTGCCTTACTACTCCACTGCTGAGCAGAATGCAAAAACACAAGCCGAATACACACACCTCAGACCACAGAGACAAAATGAGCCGTGCACTCAACACCTGCCAACACACACATCATCAAACGCCTCACAACCACAGGAACCTGCACATTCTCTACAGCCGGTGCAGGTCGATCACACGGTAACAAATGGACCATCGCCCTCTTCATTACCAGATGAGCCGGTATCTTCAGATTTAGCAGTTCAGACAGTGCAGCCAGCAGAGTTAACACTTTCCACACACGTGGACTCACACAGTCAAACGGTGAATCTCACATCTGCCTCAGAATCAGCTACAGATCCTCTCAGGCAGTCTGAGTTGCACACACTGCCAGATCCTTCCTCACCGGACACACAACCAGTGTGAACTGGACCAGAGTCAGGTGGACCCAGCACAGACGGGAGCATTGCCAGTAAGGGTGGACATCAAATGGGGCCAAGCTGCTGCACTTTAAGCTGGTGAGGACCGGGCCTGCAGTGCCTGGGATCCACTGCCGGGTGGGAGCAGCTGCACCCTCTTTTAAGTGCCTTCTGCTCACCTGGGCGATAAATGTTCCCACGACACAACCGTCCACAAGTTCTGCTTCTGCCTCGGGGAAGTCTGAAAAACCAACAGGGTGTTGTTGGATATCATATTGTAGCAGGACGGAGAAAAGAGAATTTTTTGTATTTTATAACAGCATGTCCAAAAAAGTGTTTGTCCCTAAAATATTTGGCCTCTAATGTGGGAAACATGTCTGGATGTTGTTGGGTAGTTTTATTGTGCAATGTTGTATTTCTCAGTGAGCCTGTTCACTGTGCAGATGCTGTATGTATATTTTTGTACAGACTGATTCACAATTTGGATCTGCGATGTTAAATCCATTAATACGGCCGATGTGCCTTCTTTCTTTTTCTTTTTTAAACATCACTGTGCTGCATGGGTACAGATCTTTAAGAATGACTATGCTAAATGTGCTTGATTCCAGTTAATGCTGCTAGATTGCTTCGCTTGTGTCAATCAGGATTATTGTGCTGACTCGGTAAGAGCGGACGGTTCCAAAGGGCGTTCACTGTGACACCTGAATACAGAAGTTTTCTTATGATCATGTGATTATGTGGTCTGATTACAAACTTGCAGGTCGGCTGCAGAACGTTTATGTACAAAGACTTTTTTAAGAGCGTTTACATGAAGTTAATAACTTGCACATTAAAATCTTTTTTTTTTATTCCTACATTTTTGCTCGTGGAGTCATTGCTTCATTTCAGTGTAAGGATTGCTTGAAGGTTGAATATTTAACAGAAGTCATTGGGTCAAAAAGGCTTCTTACAATTTATATTAATGTCTCTAAAAACCCGGACATATCAGGATTTAGAGCAATGAATACAATGTATTCTGATGAAGTTTAGCCAGAGACAATAGAGAGAGAGCACCAGGACATCATAAGAAATATCCTGCAGATAAGAATCAAATTGATTTTGTCTCCCTTTCCAATCAGTACAGAGGTTTCTGTTCAACATGTCTTGGCTCAAAGGCGGAAACGGGAGCCAAAAAGAGATTCCTGTACCTGGTAAGAATGTCACGTGTCCTCCCTGTGAGGGCTAAAAGGAAAAGTGACAAAAAATTCCATTGGCTCATGACAGTACGTCACCTGGTGCTGTTTTGTTTATACAGTACCTGATTAAATGTCCTTCCTTGCTGAATGTTAGGCTGTGGCTTGAAAATGTTATTTTGGCTTATACAATGATTGGTGTTGTCAGTGGTTGATTTGCCACAGTTTAGAGCAGCTTTGTTTTTCTTTGACATGTTCTCACGTCAGGGACTTAAGCTTTCATACATTTATATTCTCTCTTTAGTCCACACAAAAAAAGGAACATGTATCTGGATACTAAACAAATACTAAAGCTACATTGAACAACAGTGAAAGCAGGACGGAAAGGAAAATAAAAAAAGTAGCTCATCTAGATTTCTCCTCTGCCTCTTCTACCTTCAGGTCTACTTCATATCAAAAGCTCTGTGGTTTCCCCTTCCTGTTTCATTCTGCGTTCATGTTCACTTATTGTGGGTTTATTTTACCAAAGCCCATAGAAACATAGTTCTCTGGAGCACAGATGGACCTTCATCAAGGACTATAAGTTACATGTTAAACCATATACTATATTATAGTAGTGAGGCATGTATATACTTTTCTTTTGGATTATTTGATTGAAAACTGGAGTTTAAATTATGGTGGGAGAAAAGTTGAAATGTTTGATTTGATTGCACAAAAATAATAGAAGTGAGCACCTCAACAAATACAAGTTCAATACACATGTGGACAAGTGTATATTACATTAATAACATTAATGTTTTATACCAAACACAGGGTTATTATGGGAATTATACAGTTCAGTATAAAAACGAACAAACAAATTACTGTAAGTAAAATATATTCACTTGACTTCATTTGACCGATTGAATAAAATCAAATAAAGACCGATTAAAGAGCCATTAGGAGACTGTAGAGCCCTTATTATTCATGAGCTGTGCCAAATGATTTAGATCACTAAACATGGCAGAGATTGCAGTAAGGGCGGTGCACATGAGGGTAGGTCGATGAATTTCCCCAAAATCGAAACTTAAGACACTGAGTTTGCGCAGTAGGTCCAGTCAAGCCCGGTGACAGGCAGAACTATCCGGTGTTCAGAGTTTAGGCGGGGAAGCGGAAGAAACAGCAGCCCGAAGAAAACCAGCCCGGAAAGTGGAACAAGGCTGTTTATGTGTCTGCTTTTTGTCAAGGTAGGAGCAATGTTTGCCTTTTTTTTCGTGGTTGCTCATAAGAAAATCGCAGGGACATAACAGGAATGAAGGAAGTAGGGAGTATGATACACCTGGGCCGAGAATGGAGAGAGGACCCTCGAAACCAAAGAAAGTTTGGTTTTCTTTGCATCATGTTTTACATCCTAGTGATTATGGGCTGAATTTTGCATGCAGAAAAATAACAACTGGTTCTCTTAGTCAACTTTCCCTCCTCACTACTAGAGAACTACTGTTTTAGTCCGACTATCAGCAAACCAAGAAAAACAAGAAATAAGAATTAATACAATTTTAAGAACATTTTGATAATTAAGATAGTTTGGGAAACTGCGTCTCTATCTTTCCCATTTAGAGTATAAATAACTTACTCAATTTTTTAAGAAGTGGTCTAAACTAACTCTGTTGAAACTAACTATAGCAAAGTAAAAATGAGTCACCATCAAAGCAAAAATGTCTTAATAATTCATAAAACTATCAAGCTTATCATCACATTCCCTCTGTTTCAGACACAGGGTGTTTGGCAGCAGATGGTTCCTTATCAACTAAAGACACTACTGCTGAGGATGTGAGGTAAGATACATTTATAAACTGGCTACTAAAAGTTATATCTCATCCAACCAGCTTAAAAACATCATACAGTAGTTGTAGGCTTTAATCAATGTGATAAAGGTCAATAAAGGATAGAAAGAGTCAAAATATAAATGCAGTGTACCATTTCAAATACATTTTGTAATGGCCCTAAATAGCAATGATGCATCATGCAGCCATTGCCGATTTGAAAAAAAGTGGAAATGTGTTTGTATGGAAATAATTACAAATACAAGCATTTGCCTGACCGGAAGGTGATCTGCGGAATATATATTTGTGTGTTTGAGATGTAAGTCAAATTTACCTGGATTACAAGACGTCAGCCTCCTCCTCTTCCTCATTCAGTAGCTGAACACCTTTGACAGCAAACACATCATTCCTGAATCAAAAGACAAGTAGAAAATTACATCTTACCATGCAATGACTGTATACTCTGGCAGGGTTGTAGGTTGCATTTGTTGCTGGAGATGATACTGATCGCCTTTTTGGCAAGCTGGAATAAAGTACTTTAAGGAGGTGCAGTAGGAAAAAAGAGGAAGTGAAAGGAAACAAAATAGTGAACAAATAGTGATATTTACTACAGCCTCCCCATATTTCTAGTGAGAAAAAAAAAAAAAAGGAATATCACTATTATTAAAGGAGGTCCTCAGGAAGGGCAGGAAGTGGAATTAGTTTTGCAACTGGTCTGACACAGGACTTGTCTTTAACTGATACTGATTTACATCACAAAGGATCTGCACATGTCTCCCTTTGCAGATGGCACAGAATTTCTTTAGATCACACTTTGCAGCTTGATGAGTCCGAGCACAGCGCCAACAACGGTTGTTCTCCTTTATCCAGTTGACCTTTTGATCTTTTGTCATAACAATAAACTCTGGACATTTACTGATATGGTGTTCTGTTGAGCGACAATATGCGCTGGTTGCTGTGGGCTTCTGAAGGAGCTTTGACATTTGTGTGGTCTCATTGGGTTTCTGGCACTGGTGGGTAGGAGATACAGGGGACCGAAGAACTGAGGATGAAAACTCTGGCTGGGGGGAAAGGGGAACAAGAGGCTGTCTAGGTTCTAAAAAGGGATTAAATTGCTGAGAATGAGGAACTTGAGGATTGCAATCTTGGGGTGCTGCAGGTAAGCAGGACGCTGGCAACTCTTGGGAAGAAAGGCTAGGTCGAGGTAGACCAGCTGAGGGAAGCATCCAGGATTGATAAATTGGGGACATGGGGTATGGCAGAAGAAACAGCAACAGGATGACGAATAACCTCTGGTGGACAGGAGGATGAATGGTACTATTTGGGTATAGCACCAGGAAACCTGACATTATGCTGATCTGCAGAAGAAACTGTTGGTTTGTTATCCACATATGGTCGGTTTCTTGTAGATGATGCAGATTTTGAGGAATAAGGAGTACATGATCTTTCCATGAAACTTTGGACATTCCTCATAGTCACCAGCAGTTCAGGGAGAATATACAAAATCTTCAGGTTCATTCTCAGGCTCATATCTCTGTGGCTCTTCACCTTGTGTTTCATCCTGCATCCCATGTGTGTCTGTTACAGGATGTGTACAGTCTGTTTGACATGCTGCACCTTTAACTCGAGGATAATTGACTTCATTGTCTTGTAGATGAGAAGGCAATTGAGTTTTACGCTCTGAGCGTCGAAGAGTCTCATCTTGTGGCTGTGAATCCATGGCAATAGTCAGACTCCAGCTCGAAGGACCATGTAAAGAAGGGTTCAAATTTGAGGTGCTATCACCATGGGGCATTGGGTCAAGATGCAGGAATCCAACAAGACTGGATTTTTATGTAACAGGTTTATTTCCTTTCAAGTTAGGTGAATCATAAGGGTAACATAAGACACACATGGGATTGAAACATCCATGCTGAAAGACAAAATAAAATACTATTAGTACAATAAACAAGTCAAATTACATTACTTTCTGAAAGGAACTAAAGATAAATAAAGTGCTTAGGACAAATTAAAATGGACTAAATAGTAAAATAGGAGTGAAAACCACCTTACCATTGCTAAACTGTCGCCCCATGTGAGGATGAAAACATGAGTGTAAGGGAGTACAGTCTTAAATAAGGAGTAGGCAGGTGAATTCAATCTAATTAATTCGTGACAGAGTGCAAACAACAACCAATCAAGGGGGAGAGGAGAGAGTGAGAAACCAGGAAGTGTACTAAAGGAGGTGCAGTAGGAAAAAAGAGGAAGTGAAAGGAAACAAAATAGTGAACAAATAGTGATCTATACTACAGTCATTATGCTGGTGAATACAACTGTGCAGAGTATGTATAGTAACGTAAGTTTCAACACGAGAAACTTTGCTGCTCAGATAATTAGCAGCCGGAGCTATCGTAACCTGAACCTGGGACAATATGCTGTCTATATTATCATGCTACGGGCTAAACTTCTGCAGACATGAGCTGACTTGGCTTTCAACCACCCGCTAATGTGTCGACTACTTTTCTCGCCGTGCATCAGTCGAAGTCTGCCCAAATAACTCTGACATATAAGGTTAGCATGCGTCGCTAACTCATCATCAGGGGACAGTAACGTTATTCTGACATTCTGGTCGTTATATGATATACTGAATGGGTTTGTGTTGAAACAACTGATAATTATGATGCAAAGAAATAAGACACAACATTTATAACGTTATGTGGACGTGGGAGAGACAACATTCTCCCTGTTGAACGCGATTACACTGTTAGATTGATTTACAAGCCATTATTTTATGGTGGAAAAGTTACATATTGGGGCTTTAACGAGACTACATTGACAACACTGATGTCTTCACTCAAAAGTTTGAAAATAGTGGATTAATGCCTGTTGAGACTTCGTACTAATAGTTTTACATTAACATATCAAAGTGCATTTACTCTACATGTCACATTCAGACACTGATGGCAGAGGATGTTTTGTAAAATGACTGACCATAGGCATAAACTAATTCCATTCACACATCACTGGATAAGTCACCTGGCAGTGATTTAGAATCCAGTGTCTTGCCCAAAAACCCTTGATAAGTGGACTGCAGAAGCAAGGATTGAACCACCAACCTCCTGGTTGAGAGATGATCAATAGTACCATTGAGCCACAGCCAGGTACTTAAAATCCATTAATCCCCAAATGTAAAGCATCCTATAGAAATGTTTTGTACATTACATTTAAAAAAAAAAAAGTGATTTCCATAAAGTCCTCTAAAATGTTAAATCACTTGGGCTGTAATCTTGAGTAGTGTTGATGATTTGATTGATTGAAATGTTTTTTGCATTGAACTAAGATTGAGTGACTCAGTGAAATGTCTGTACCAGGATGTTTGAAGCTTTTTGTAATCCAGTTTTAAGTTGGTTAAAAAATTGGTTAAAAATACTAGTGAACAGGGACTACTAGCTGGTGGCGCAGTGGTTAGGGCACATTCCCCATGTATGGAGATTGTAGTCTCAACTGGGTGGCCCGGGTTTGAGTCTGGCCTGTGGCTCCTTTCCTGCATGTCATTCCCCACTCTCTCTCTCTCCTTGGTTTCCGACTCTATCCACTGTCCTATCTCTCAATTAAAGGCCCAAAAATGAATCTTTAAAAAAAAAATACTAGTGAACCAGTTTTACCAAAATCTGTCTTATTCCATGTGTATATTTATCGATATAAATTTATTTGTCAGGGATATAGGCATTGTTACACATCGGATTAAAGTGCAACCGATGCAATGTATATACTTAGGACTTCTAGCCATGGCTAATTTGCCGTCCATGTTCCTGGTTAGGCTTTTAGGAAATAAACCACTAAAATGTAAAATAGACATTAAAACTGATAAATGCATCAGACATACATGGGCAGCAACATAGATGCATAAAAACTAAAAGTAAAGCAGACACAGACAGGCAGATTGATGATAATGACTAAGAATACAATAACTGAACAATAACTCAAATCAAAACTAAGTCAATTATGGACTCAATGTAACTGAATATTTTCTTTTGCAGATGGAAGTCGATAAGAAAGGTGAAACACCAACATTGATAATCTGATGGAAAGGAAAAGAAGATCATGGGTGAGTGTTGTGACAAGTTGTGTGATTTTTAAAATTTATTTGGTGGGGCAGACAGGAAACAGTGGATACAGAGGGATATGATGTGCAATAAAGACACCAGCAGGAATCAAACTGTCTTAAGTGGCTATACAGCCTCCATACCATTAGTCTACCAAGCAGGGTTGGAAATGAACTTTGTTGCTTACCTGCCACTGTGAATAGAGGAATCAAAAGTCCAACAAATACTATATAGAAATAGAAATATATAGATATTTTAACTGGCAGCATAATGTTATAAGTAGAATATTATAATCCAGGTTTATAGTATTTAAGTACAAGGCTTGGCTGAAAATAAAAAGTTTCCTGATATAGCTGTTTCACAATAAAAGAAAGTCAATGACATTTACTGGGGACTTTCATTGTGCAGAAGCAGCTTTAGCAGAAATTTCGAGAGATTTTTGATAACACTGTAGGGATTAACACTATAGCCGCTCCTTTGACCATGAGTCACTGCCAAAGGCCGCTTCTTTTAATCATCTTGGACTTGAGAAAAGTGAGACATCAGTGAAGAAACACCATTAGCAGGTAGACCTGCTGTACTAGAGAAGCTAATCCAAGCTATGCTACTCTAAAGTGACACAGAGCAAAGACTCTTTAGCAGATCATGGTAAAAACTGACACGAAGAGGCTGAGACCTGTGGTCAGTTAGTGGTCTTGTTAATGCCAAAACAAAAGACTGGAAGATACTGAAATGCTAATCATAATTTTTCTATATTAGGCCAAAGGGTTTCCATTATATTATACACATCATAACAAAGCTCATACTACTATAACCCTTTCAATCACTGAAAAACAGGGCATTTTGATGTTGAATGATATGCCCAAGAATAGGAGCAATATGTAATATGTGAAGTGGAAGATGAATGATTGCATGTGTTGACCGAGAAGGTTCAGCTAAAGCTAGGAAAAAACAAACCTAATGCAGTGGTGGAAATATTTCAGTGTTTGGTCAAAAGTTGTTTGGCTTAAGGTTGTCAAAAATGTGTATGCTTTTAGATACCACTCACTTGACTTACAGCAATACAAGCTTGTTTTTTTTGGAGTCATTTTCAAAGTTAAAGTTCTAATATTTTGACGACCCTAGTTCTACTGCCTCCTTGGAGCAAAAAACCCAAGTATTTACCTATTTAAAGATTGAAGTCTTCAATAAGAGCTAATTTGATACTCACAGCTTAATTTGCACTGGCTGTCAGTGGCAAAATGCTCACAATGTCCCCCAATCTTTTATTCATAATCAAACCTGTTGCCTATTCCTTTTTTCCCCACCCACAGCTGACAAACTTGACCCATCACCCGAGGTTTGGACCGAATCTCAAGTCAGCACCTGGCTGAAATCGATTGGAGTGAAGGAGCAGTACATAAAAAAGCTTTATGAGGAAGAAGTAAACGGACAAATCCTTCTTACATTAAATGAGGAGTTTTTAAAGGCTAAGATTTGCATGAAATCAGGGCCTGCTCATTTGATCATTCAAAAGAGAGATGAGCTCACAAACCCAAAGCAACAAGAGGTTAAGCAAGAGAGGAAAAAGCCCACCAGTGGTAAAAACACTGAGTTGGAATTGAAATCAGTTCAGTGTGTTCCTACAGCAAGTGGAGGCCCTCCTGCACAGACTCATGAGAGTCTTGAAGATATCTTAAAAGAGAGACAAACTTCAACTTCAAAGGAAGATTGCAGACCTCGACCATTTGATCAAGAAGGGATTGATTTCATGTATGTAAAGCACAGAGTCCTGCAACCAGAATCAGGTGCTTTTAATCTGACATCTCCATGCCATGAATTTAAGTCATTTGCCATAGCTGCTGCATTGGATCGCACAAGACTCCAAGCTAAGTTTGCAAAAGAGGTCCTTAAATTTGCCACTGGCTGTATGAACATTAGATCAAATGGTACAATACACTTTGGTGTGATGGACAGCAAGGAGGATGCAGGTTATGTGCATGGTGAGATAATTGGTATCCCTGTGAAAGAGAGAGATATTTTTGTAGATGCTTTGGACTACATTGAAAGAAGTGTCTGTTCTGATAAGGAGCATGTACGCCAGTGTGTGCGGCCTCCAAGGTTCATTGAAGTTATGGACAGGGAAAGTACAGAAAAGAAGTATGTGGTAGAGGTTGACATTGTGCCTTCTATTAGTATTGTTAAAAGCAAGGTGTATGCAGTTCGTCTA